ACAACAATGTATAATATCAACAAAAAGGCATCGTCAACATCAACTAGTTGGATGTCATTGTCAACGTTGGAATCGGAGATGACGGCAGGCAAACGGCGCGCGGCTGGTGGCGTTTTGACCGGCCTAACACCGTCCCATGTCGCCGTTAGTGGCAGCAGAAAGCTTTTATTTGCAGTCGCGCTGTTTGTCCTGTTGGCCAGCGTTAACTGTGCTGCTGATCAGGTGAGTTTTGAGAATTTACATATTTTATTCACGGTTTAAGTGAAATGAATGAAAGTCTTAAGGCAAAAATAAGAGTAAAATTTATATTTATAGTCTGCATGAGTAGATCCGCTATCCCATCTATCTTGAATATATCTACATATTATTCCGAAGGAGGATTTCTCTTAGGGCTTCTAACTGTAAAAACCAACCATAAGGAAGGGTAAAAGTTCCTGGAACAGCTATAATTAGCAGTCTTAACGCTTACCGCCTTAGTAAGAAGAGTTCACTCATATTCGACGAGAGGTAACTCATCCTCCAAAAGCGAATCTAATAACGATTTTTTTATCTCCGTACAATATCCGACAAAGCGCTCGTCGAACTGAACCACATAAACAATTTTGCAAATGAGATGAAGATCACGTTCATTCTTATGCCTAATATTATAAGTGATCACAGCTAAAAAAGGCTCCAGAAATTATGGGCGATATCTGCTAAAGGGAAGTTAGCTCACAAGCTTATTCCAAACATTGAACATGGTTTAAAATTTCTCATGTGAAGAGAAATTTCGATCTAAAACACTTTAATTTAATGTAATGGGTTCATCGAATAATGTCGATTTAGTTAAATAATCCTCCCCGCTAGAAAACCCTATTTCTACAATAACTTCTCCCAGCAATGGCCACGTAAAAACTTCTTCTAGCGAATAGCAAAAATAAAGACTCGGATGAGACCCCTCTTTTTATGACGACTCGGCAAACGTTTAAAGAACTACGATTTGAGTGCATGTACAGTGTCCGGACCCTGAATGGGAAAGATGCCTCTGTCCGGCTGGTTGATGCCATCGTAGGGATAAAAGCTGACATCACCTCCATTAACGGCGTTGGACGGGAAAAGGTAACAAATGGGCCTTGCGACGTATACTACTACTACAACTGCTATGTAAAGGAGCGCGAATTCTGTTTTGGTTTTGTGGTGTTATAGAGACTCCGTCGTCGAGTACTGTCGTTCAGCCCGGTGGACGAGCGTCTCGTCACAATCTGCATCAAAGCAAGATTCTCCAAAATCTCGCTCATTTGCGCCCAAGCCCCGGCGAAGGAGAACGACGAAGCATACAAGGATCTCTTTTATGAGTCCTTGGAAAACACATACGAGCGCTGCCCCCGGTCACGATATAAAAATCATGCTTAACGATTTTAATGCCATGGTGGGCAAGGAAGCGAAAATCAGCTTCCATGACGAAACGCCCGATAACGGACTGAGGACATATCGCAGCGGCTTAAAATTCGGATGAACAGAAACGCTCCAGCTCTGGAAGTATTCATCTTGGAACCCGCTGGTGGTAGCTGATGAAGAGGCATTTTTAATTGGCGTCAGTTGGCACAGAAGAGAAACGACTTGCGTGCTTTTTTTGAACTCGGCCAAAATCGCTTAGGCTTTTACAGAGTCAAATAAAAAGATGAAGAAGAATCTATTTCTACTTCACGGACGAGTTCCAGACTTTAATTGCTTTCAGACAAGCCTTAAGCGACATTCACCGAGAGACCATCACAACCTTTACCAACTGTCTTCTCCTGAATCTCGTCATCGAAGCTCAAACCACCACTCATCGAAGAGTCCCTGCGAAATTTGTTTCATCACTTGACAAGGGATGACGGAAAATCGTTCCACATTATATCACTTTGATGGTACTTTGCGAACCCCATAATATACTTTTTAGGCATTTAAAGTTTACGACATACAACAATACGACACTTACGACACCGTTGTGAATACCCCAAATATAAGTATGTAAATACAATTTTCTATTGCGAAATAAGTATAAATAAAAGGACGAATAAATTCTTTTTGTGGTTCAAGTATCCGATTCCAAGAACTCAGTTGCGTTTAAATATCATCCATATTTCAATTTAAAAGTATGAAATAAGTTCATTCTGTCCTTTGGTTAATCTGTTTTGAGGCATTTGGTACTAAATCGACTTTAGGCCTCCTAAAAAATTTTCATATCTCATAATTTTCATCAATCTTTCATCGATCTTTGTATTTTGGAACGAATTTCGTTCTCCGAAAAATGACACTGAAGATGGCACAACGCCGAAACCGGTTTGTCTCCAAACCAAATTTGACAAGGGATGACGGAAATTCGTTCCAAAATACATCACACACTCAACCCGTCGGAAACAACAACAGCCAAAAAGGAAATATTTATCTTTGTTCAAATAGGTAGTTTCCATAAAAAAAAAACAATCGAAAGATGTTTCGCAACACAAAGAGTGATTAATCTCGAACGAAAACCATTAAAAATAATATTGCTGTTTTTATTTCTCTTTATTCAATAAAACACAGCTGCACCAATTCTTAAAACTTCATTAAATTTGTTAATGACAAACCATACGTTTGCCAAGAAAATGCTTTTCAAGAAATGTTCGTATTTTAAAAGCTATGGAGCAGAAATTGAAACCAAAACCACCAGAAAAGATTCTGCTTACTTGGCAATTACTGCCTTTACTGCATTCAAAGTTTGCTAAAAATGAAAATTGCATACTAAGCACTTATGTATGTATGTATATACGTGTGAATATACATATGCATGTACATTAGACCGCATCACCAAAAAAGTTGCGGGTTTTCCTCCGGGATTACTAAATTTATTATATTTTAAGACGTCCACCAAAATATTTCGTAAAAATATTTAAGTGAGCTGGACCGATTTGAAAATACCTCCAAAAATGAAGTTTTTTATGAATAAAAATAGTTTCTTAAACAACTTTTTGAAAAAAGTCCCCTCAGATGACAAATTAGAATAAAAATCTGCATAAAAATATTTAAAAATCTTTTCAACGGAATCGTAAGAATGAGATTTTTGATGCTGTTTTTTTACTTTTTTCAAAGATTGATTTACGAAAAACTTGAATAACTGGGCCAAAAATGTTCTGATTTAGACTTATGGGATTTCAGTAGAAAGGTATTTTCACACCGTTTTTATTTCTGGCCAAAAGAAACGTCATTCGTGTCCCATCTTTTTTTCGAAAACCAAAACATCTTAATTCAACTTTGAATGAGGTTCGTTTCTCCTACCTTTCTCTTCCATCCTTTGAATAAGTTTATTAGCAAATAAATGAAAAGAGTGAGAAAATACCTTTCCAATGACACCTCCTAAGTCTAAATCGGAAGAGTTTAGGTTCAGTTATTCAAGTTTTTCTAATACCAATCTTTGAAAAATGTTAAAAACAGCATCAAAAATCTCATTCTCGATTCCGTTAAATTTTTTTTTTTAATATTTTTATGCAAATATTTTAAGCTTAAACCGTTTTGTCATTTGAGGGGATTTAAAAAAAAAAAATCTTTAAAGAACTATTTTTATTCGTAAGAAAAAACTATTTTTGGAGGTATTTTTAAATCGGTGCAGCTCACTTAAATATTAATATTTTTCCGAAATATTTTGGTGGACGTCTTAAAATATAGTAGATTTTATAATTCTAATGAAAAAATAGTACCGATTTTTTTTGTATGGGGAGTGATGCAGTCTAATGTACATATGTACATACATAAGTACAAATGCATAAAAAACCAATAAAAATTACATGAATGATTATTAAACGGTTATAAATTGCATTTATACGGTACTTATGTACGGACCAGGCCGACAGCAAAAACGTTCATATGGGTGTGCGAAAAACTGCATCGAAGCAGAAAAAGAAAATACAATACGTACCTACATATGTACATACGTACATATGTACATTCGAAAAAATTAAGTATGTACATACATATGAAAAATCGCCAATTGGCAAAAAAAAGCGCTTGAAGAAAAAGAGGCAGAGAGTGGGCGCTGCATTGCTTATGGGCAAGTGAAAACACTTTGCTAACACTTCACTTCTTCTCCTCTACTCGAGTGTTTGTTTATATATGCGCGCGCTGACGAATGTCTATCCAACTGCATTGCTGATCGTTAAATGGTGTCTGTCCACTTGGCA